GGAGTTTAATGCTGCCTGGGCATGGGCTGCGCCCCGGCAGGCTGCACACACGGGGTGAGTGTCCCAGGAGGAAAATTTTCTGCCGCAGGAACAGAGTTTAGGTCCTTCTTCCATCGTATCAGTGTTAGCCGCGTTTGCCATATTAGCAGTTTTCCAACTCTCTCTCTCAGGAAGCTTGTGCAGCTAGTTGGTAAGAGCGGTGAGAAATTATTGCTATTTCCTTGCTGCTTTATAAGGTGTTGCCACCAGTAAAAGTATTGCTACCTTTAATTTAAGTATTGCTACTCGTTGAAAAGTGGGAGTATTGATACTTCGTACCTGTGCTAGGTGAGGGAAGTGTTGCTACTTCGCACTTCCACTAGCAGGGATGAAAGTATTGCTACTTCGTACTTAGYTAGCCGAGAAAGTATTACTACTTCCCCGGACCAGCAAACAACCATATGGCTGGGAACAAGTGCCCTGTGATGGAATTTGCACCCAGTCGATGGACAGTTTAGCTTCACGCCAAGTGGTACCGTTGTCAGCAGGTTTCTGTGAAAAACGAGAAGAGGTTTTTGAATAATGACTGATGCTATGTCAAMCACTTTTATTGAAGTCACTTATGCCAGCCAATCAGGGCTGGCGTAATGAAATTTAAGTTTCTGATGAGGTCACGCAGGAGGCGTTCCCCATAGTGAGACAYGAAACTAATGCTATGAAAGAGAACCCCTCTACACTGTCACTGATTCTGGAACGTCCATGGTACAAAACCCCTCCTACACTGTTTCTGAGTCTGAAGCCTTTTGTGGTACCAAAGCCCCAGTGGTGTGCCGTCAGGGCCAGCAAAGCCTTCTCTGCTGGCCTAAACACAATCAGAATCACTACATTATAGAATATTTTATATTTATTATAATTGTTATTAATATTATAATGAGGATGTTATTATTTTTGAATCATCTGTTCTCTTCGTTTCATAGTTTTTCTCCTGGCTGTGCAGCATCCAGCAGCTTGTATTTATTTAGAGCTTTTATCCAATCATATTTCGATCATCTTCTGTTGCTAGGGTTCACAGATCTGCCTCAGGCCTTCAGAACAAACAGTGAAGGCACCTGGAGGGTAAAACAAACAGCAGTGATACTGTTGCTTTGACCAATCATGTGCTGAGGTGAAGACCTCAGAGCCTGCAAGCTGGCCTCAGACAGCTTCAACATTTTCTCATCATTTGATTGGCTGATCAGAGAGCAGGAGTCAGAATCGGGAAACTGGATTCCTGTAGTGTCTTATAAGCTAAATGCTGAGCAGACACTCTCAGAGTTACAGAAAATTAAAACTTAAAACAAAAATACAGAACAGAACAGACT